ATTAAATTGCACATTTTTGTGCAATTTACTCAAACTATGATATATTTTGCCTGCATTTATGTTTTTCTAATGGAAAAGGAACTTTTCTAACGATAGTTTTCGAACCAACTTTTGCAGACCAACTAATCCCTTGATGCAAACATGAAATTATATTTCATGTCATGAAGTCATTGTTGGCAACCTACATAGCCACATGGCCTTCTGTTTCATATTTTTGGATTATAAACAATCCTTTGCCAAGAAATAATGTGATTGGCCAAACATTTTCTTTTTAGGTTGAAAAAAATGTTTGGAAGCTAGTTCTTGAAGTAAAACATGTATATTTTGCAAGATAATCCTATAGGCTATAGATTATATAAATATTAAAATTAGGCTTACAATTTGAAGTTGGTACTACTTGGTGACTTGGTGGGTTGCATGAAGATGTGTGGAAAACGTAAATATTGTATGGACGTTTTAATGGAGGAGCAACCCAATATTGAGTGCTTAGTATTTTGTAAATTGGTCAATGCTTGCATACTTGCGTAGTTGCATATTATGTGTTGAGTTTTGTTTGTTCAGTCCAATTGGGAGGAGAGGCCCATAGAAGTTTCTTCAAGAATTAGGCTACAAAAATGGGCTTCATAGAATTGGGGTAAGGGATCACTTTGTTTTATACAAATGGCAACACCGTCAAATGAAAATATTAAAGTTGAAAACAGGGGATCAACATTTGTTAATTGGTCGTGCAACATTTTTAAATCTCGACAATATGAGAAAAGATAACGAACATTGTGCAGATGAATGTGACTAAGGTTGTGTTTTTATCTTCCTTAATGAACTTCATAGAGTCACAATGCTTAAATATAGACATATCGATATACAGGATGATTTCTTTTTAACTTGATGCATATAACATGTCTTATTAGGCCACAGCCCACATGACAGGATGGAGAGCTGTCTTGGTATCATTGGGAACACCATTTCGGGTGTCCTGGTATTGAGATTTTTCCTCATGCACAGCATATCTATCGTGACCTTCATCTATTTGCATAAATGGGTTGTAAAATATTGCATTGGTACTTTTACATCTTGCTATGGTTGACAAGACGAGAAAAATGTTTGACTTGGAACATGGAGAATGCTAGATGAGAGGGATGACTTGAACATTTATCTATTAGGCTAAAAAGTGTGGTCTTAAATTGCCTCCAACATTTGGTTTCACATAGACCTCATGTAAGATGCCTCAAACATTTATCATGTAATGCATCCATGATGGGGTTGTGTTGATGACATGGAGACTATATATATATATATATATATATATATATATATTATATATATATATATATATATATATATATATATATATATATTATATATATATATATATGAAGTAGGTTCAATGGAAAATGAACAATTAGGGCAACATATGTTGGAACCAATGATCAAGTGACATGTGTCCATTTCTTTATTCATAAGCAATCTACTATGGAAGTTATTTATGTAGTTATTCCAAAATCATGTGTTGTCATGCTTTCATTGGTTCCAACATGTGTTGCCCTAATTGTTTATTTTCCATATAACCCTTCCCATATATATATATATATATATATATATATATATATATATATATATATATATTATATATATATATATATATATATATATATATATATATATTATCTTCATTTTGATAGTTTCTACGATTACATGGATTATAGCTATATACACAAATACCCTGATGATTTCCACTTGATAAGACATAAAGTCCACTAAGTATATCTTGAGTTGGTGCTGGAATCGGATCCCTAATAGTTTGAGACAAAAGATTCATATGAGAAAAACATAAGTAAACACGTCTCTGCGTGAGTCTATATATATATATATATATATATATATATATATATATATATATATATATATATATATATATATATATATAATATGACAAAAAACTGTGAGTACGATCAATATTTGATTCATTCTTCACGTCATTCATATGCAACAAAAATATCAAAATCCAACAAAAACCACTAATTCATTCTGAAAGAATAATATTGCTAAGATTCATTTTATACATGCTGGCGAAATACATTCTACTATAAGACACTCTTGTTCTCCATATTTTCTTTCTTTTCCACATGAATGACAAACTCTTCAAAACCTAATAAAAAAATCTAACAAAAACACCCACTCATTCTAAAATAATATTATTTATAAGATTTGTTGTATAAATTTTAGCAGAATACATAAACTACATTCTGCTAGAATACAAACGTTCTGAAAGAATGAATTTATATAAATAAATTCTGACAGAATACACACAAATCCATTCACACCTCATACTCAACTTTCACATCATAATAGACTAAAGATAAAACTGCAAATTTAGTCCTCGTGGTTTGTAAAAACATTTGGATAGGGTCCAAAAAGTTTTCGACTTACATGGAATGTCCAAAATTAAGGTTTATCAGTGTTTTTGGTCCAAAAGAACTTTAAAAGACGTTTATACCTTTTTACTTTCTTTTTTGTATTTTTTTTATAGATTTTCAAATACTAATTTAATTTAAAAATAAAAGAAAAGAAAATAATTATCCCCCCCCCTCTCTCTCCTAACTTAACCCAGATTCATTCTTGTTCATCTTTAATAATCTTACAC